TGCTGATCTGGCAAGGAGGCTGGATTCTGCTGGCTTTTGAAACATGGAACAAAATTACTTAAAAGGCTCCTACACAGCTCCTAGATGCTGCACCACATGCACAATTCTGCCCCACGGGAGAGAATTAGTCCTTAGGACCTCAAGGAATGGTACGTAGATAGTGCCCAAGACCTCTATGTTTTGGCTTTTCAGGAGGGAAGTTTGCCAGTGAAGTACACAGCAACAAAAAGGCACCTGGAAATGTCTACAGCTCAAAATGAAGCGTTTTGTTTTGGCCGGAAGTGGTTAAAAAACTGAAAATATTTAAAACAGAGCTATTTTGTATGCTTTTTTATGAAAACAGATTACCTAGCTTTTAGCTCCTATGCTAAAATCTAGCAGGATGAGTCATCAACCACTGTAAAATGGAATTTAATATGAAAACATGAGCACAGTCAGACTGTCTTTCAAAAGTGGATACAATCATTGAATAGATTAAGAGATTTAGAGATATTTTGATAAGTGATATTTTAAGATCATCATTCTGTTTACAACAGACTGCAGAGTTTGAAGTGCTATAATTTACATACTGAAAGAGACAAGCACCACAGGGAAAGCTGTTAACTGATTTGAAGAACAGCTGTGAAATACAAGTTGCCAGCCTCATGGATGTTCCTTTAAACGAGGCAGCGGAGGATAAGATGGCGGCTGCAGTGAATCTTGTCTATTTTAATACTAGCATCCACACCCTTGTTCAGGATTCCTTTCAACCTCTATCTACTTCTACCCTCTGCCCCTTTAGCAATATTAAAGAAGTTTGGGGGGTCACAATCCTAAAATGAAAATTGTTTATCTGTGCATTAAACTACAGGACTCTGGTTATGAGATCTATTCTTCACTTTGTCTCTGATTTCCAGTGCAGACCTCAATAAGCAACTTAAATGATCTATGTTGTGGTATCCTGTATCCATAAATAGTAATACTATTTCTATCTCAGATACTTACATGAATCCCAGTACCACAAGATCTAAGTGCTTTGCCATCTTTAACATATTTATTTATTCTTATGATACCTATGTAAGAAAATGCCACCAGCCCCACTTTACAGATTTACATACCTATCAATATATATTTAAGTATGTGTACCTAGATCTATAAAAACCTTAGGTGCGTAAGTGTCACTTTAAACACCTGCAATGCTATGTCTAGTTCTGGTCACCCCTGTTCAAGAAAGTTGAATCCAGGCTGCAACAATTGCAGACAAGAGCTGATACAGAATAGTGAGCCTTTCTTCTGAGAAGAAACTAAAAGATCTTAGCTTGTTTAAGCTAGCAAAATAAGACTGAAGGGAGATGCATGCTCATCAGGGGGGATAAAGACCAGGGAGAAAGAAACTATTTATTGTATATTATTTCTGGAATGAGTGGGTATAAAATGTCAATGAATACATTTAAACAGAAAATTTGAATTCTTTAACTATCAGAGGGGTGATGGTTCTGGAATACCCTTCTGGTAAGTGTAGTGGAGGCAACAATTAATTTTAAAATACAACTTGATAAATATATTAAAAAGATTATGTGACTTGGTTGATTTCAATTACACAGGACTGGTTTCAGTCTTATACTCCTAAAATATTTGAATATTTATTAGGACATGGACAGAATCCTACATGAGTGCCTTAACCACCAGACTGTTAGGCTATACTCTCTCTCTCTCTGTGCAACTACTTACTAGTTAAGCATTTTATGCGACGTGTAATGTGCTAAACAGAAAAGATTGAGAAAGACCCACTTCAACATATCCTGTGGCCTAATACTTAAGATAAAGAAAGGTAGGAGGCCTAGATTAAAATACCTGCTCCAAATCCAGATGTTTCATAATCCAAGTGAGTGGTGGTCTATCCTTTGGATGGGGGGGCAGGCGAGGGGGGCACTGCTACTCCATTTCTGTGGGTGCTTAGCATTCCCATATAGGCTAAGTACAGACAGTCAAAAAGCCTGAGGCTGTCTTTGCAGGTTACCCTAAACTGCAAAGACTGAAGCGTTAAGCAAACAAACAGACATTCATTTGTGATTCAGGAAATACAGCCACATGCCTGCAGTGGCCCAAGCCAGAAGCCAGCATGGTCTATGTGTTTGCTTCCTCTTCCTGCTGCCCCCAAGGTCTCTTGGATTTGTGGTCCACAATCAGAGCAGCAGGACTCTGCAGGGTTGCTAATCACTTCCTCTTCCTGCTTCCAGGTGTCTCTGGGATTTGTAACCCACAGTCGCAGCCAGCAGTAAGTAAGCCAGGAGGGCAGGGCAGCTCCGTACTTGGGGGAAGGGGAATTTAACCCCCTCCCTGGCGCCAGCCCCCAGCCACTGTTTGCCAGGCGGCGGGGGAGGGGGCAGTGATCCAACAAGTAAGGCCTGTGAGCCAGTCCTCACTGATCCAGCTAGGAAGCAGAGGGGCAGAGCCAGCCCTGCTCTCTGGAGCAGATAGCGTAGCCTAGCCCAGGGCTGAAAAGCATGCTGGGATGCTGGGAGACTCTGATTTAACTTAAACCAGGAAGGGATTTGAGGCAGAAGTTTCATAAACCAGTTTAACCTAAATCAGTTAAGTCTAATACTACATTCATTATCTTAAACATGTTTCAGTCATTTTGAAACTGGTTTATGTGCACTGAACTTCTGTTCTTTTACAGGTTTAAACCAGTTTCTGATCACTTAAATTGGTTTATGTGTAACTTCTGTCCCTAACCATAGAGATAGGCACCTGGATACCTTTGAGGGTAAGAGCTAGGTCTCACTCTTGTCATCAAGATTTCTGTTGCCCAAATTAGGTATACTCATATTTAGCATTCTAGCTCTAGACCTCACTTTTACGTTCCTAATTCTCTCTATGCAATGTACAGGGAAGCTGGACACCTAGTCTGAGGTGAGGATTCCACCACATAGCAGAGTATCTAAAAGGTAGGTGTTAAATACTGAAACTAAATTCTAAGTTCCCTTTTAACTAGATCCAAACTGATTTTGTAGCCACTCTACATATCTAAGTTAAAAGAGAGAGATTAGTTGACTCCTCTCAGCAGTTACAAAACATCTTGAGTTCCTATTAAATACATGTGGGCTAACGCTCTTACTCAGACACTCCTCATTCCCACCTTAACTCTGTTGTGAGGGAAATCTGTGCGACACCCTAATCTCTACCTAAACTTCCAATTCCTTTGATACGCTCTGATCTCAGTCAGCAACTGTTCAGTTCTGAAAGCACTTATATAGCTCATTTCAAAATCCTAGTCCCTGACATATCAGCAGTGCTCATCTTTTTCCCATGAGCTTAGTGGTAAGATGACATGTTTAAGAAATCAGCGACATGGGTTCCAGGCCCAACTCCAAACCCACCTCCCCCTCAATCCTAGGCAAGTGCTCTAACCACTAGGTTATTGGCTAGTCTCAGTAGTGGCCTTCCTTCACCCCTCCTGTTGAAGTTTGCTCACAGGCAGACATGATGGGACATAATGTGTGTGTGAGACTTGTTGAGCAGTGATGAAGGGAGTCTTGGCATTTCTTTTTAACCAATGATTGTCAACTCAATGCTTCTGTTGAGAATGCTCAACTCAGTGCTTCTGTCAGCTAGGTATTCTGGTTCAGGGAGGTGCCTGCCCTCTGAACAGTCTGGATGGAACAGTCCAAAAGGGAGAAGTACCACCCTTGCCCTCAGAGTCAAATGCCTGTGCTCCAGGGAAGAGTAGGAGTTCAGATATACTTCAGCCCAGCTGAAGGCTCCTCCTAAAGCAATTTGTATTGCTATTAGGAGACATAAGTATCCCCATTTACTTTATGGAGATCCTATGTACCTAACCTGTCCATTTGGTTCACCCTTCTGGGCAAAGTGCCTAAACTTTAACAACTGCAGTGCTTACAGTGGAGCTTTCCTTAGGTGTCATTTAGGATTAGCAACCAATAGGACATATAAAGTGCTTAATCCCATTGAAATCAATAAATATTAGGCATCCCGATACTTTGGAAAATCCTGCTTGGTACTATTCTGCATCTTTGGGTGCCTAAATATCTTTAAAAGTCTGTCTCTGAACTGAAATGGTTGGAGTTAGGTCCCTTTGTGACTTATCTGAAATCACAAAGGAAGTCAGACCTCCCAAATCCCAGTTTAGAGACTTACCTACCAGACTATCCTTCATCTCTAAACCTAGACCTGGGGATGTTGTGAGTTTAAATTAATGAAATTTTAAAATACCCATATTAGTAGTCTACAAAACCAATTAGTCAAAAAGTCAGAATGCAAATGTATTCCATTTTATGCCATTTTCACCACAAAGATTTCAATCAACTGATTTTGATGTTAAGAGTTGAAAGGGTAAGATATAAGACAAGAAACTAGGACTCTTTCCAAAGTAAGTTACATACACATTAGTGACATGTAGGGGGTGCACATGCACCCCATGAGATCAGCTGTGCACCCCCTGGAAGTGCCAGCCATGAAATGCACTTCTGGTTTGGCTGCTGGCTCAGCGATCAGCTGCTGGGGGACCCCCCCTCACCTGTCAGCGATCTGGTGCCCCCCCAGACTTGGGAGGCACCAGTCGCCCAAGTACATACATAATCTTGTTCTTTAGCCTTTCCCAAAGCAAAGCGAAAACAATCCTCTGATAACCATAAGAGATTTCCAAACAGCTTTACAGGGCAACCGAAGCTACTGCTGGGAGAAGAGGAACACACACTGCATCTTTAAAATGTAGCAAAAATCCTTTTCTTGGTCAGTCCTTATCTAGTATGTCTCAGGCAGCTCCTTAGTGTTCCAGGCTCACCTCTACACTGTCTTACCCTGCTAACAGAAGAGCCCCTTTCTGCTTTACTCTCCTCTGGTTTTGCCCCTCCTTCAGGAACGGTAGGCAAAAGTTAGAAAATCAACTAGCAATACTAGAGGACAAGACTAACTGTCATTTACCACAGTGGGAGGAGCACTGAGCTGTGGGTGTGCTGTACAGCAGCAGGCAGAGAAGTGCTCTCTCTAGGTGGTGACGGCGAGAGGGCAGCTACTCTTATGCTGCTGGGTTACTTTCAGTTTGGAAGACAGTATTCTCAAGGGCTTATCTGGGCATAGCACTGACAGCATGATCAAGAAGCTCCTGGTCTCCTTTCTTGTAAGTCCTGTCTCCATTTCCTTGGCATTAGCCCTTTCCCTGTATAATCCTGTCAAAGGGGGAGGACAGTGGCCAGTGGGACAGCGAGCATCAAGAGAGCTGCAGGTTTGCCCGCTGTCCCAGTGACAGCAAAGAGGGCTGTCCGCCTTCTTCCTCTATATTCCAAGTAGCTGTGCAGGGCCCTCTCTCCCACTCAGTTTAAGAAGAAAGACTGTAATGACGTCCTGTTTATCTGTAAATATCTCTCTGAAATACAGACAGAAAGACGCTACTAACTGCTTTGAAATGAAATCCAGGCCACTGCCCCTTTCTCTCACTAAAGGAAGCAAGGCAAGTGCTGGCATACACTGTACAGTATTTATTTATTAACATTAAACCACTCACGAGCATTAACGCTTTATAGAACTCATGAGTAAAGCAGTTCCTTCATTGAACAGTTAAGTCTAAATGTCATTTAGGCACAGACAGCCTCATGTAGGAGACAGAGTCGTCTCCTACAGCTAATAGGAAATAATCCAGTAAAGGTAAAATGAATCCTGACGTGTCTTCATAAAAATCACATTGCATTTCTGTGAAATGATACTAACTTTCAGTTCAAGCTTTGTTTGCTTTGTTGCACAACAGGGAAGAAAAAAAACAGAAAGCCTTTAGAGCTCCTTAAGATACATAATGAGTAACTCACAGACTATGTGACTGATGCATGTTTTCTTTAATGCATTTTTTTCCATAGAAGTTAGGAGAATGTTTCCAATGTTTTACACTGTTAAAAATGCTGGGGAACAAAACACTTAAGGAGCCTGGAAACTCCTCTGTGCTCCCATATTTTTGAAGGACGATGGCAACATTTTACCTGTATCTTTCTGTATTGTGAAGAAATGCTGAAAACCAAAATTTATTTGTTTATCCTTTACATATACTTATTTACATTTCACACTGCAACAAAAGATAACTTGTAGAACTGGCATAGAGTCCTCATTTAGATGAATTATGTGAACTTTTTTTTTGGATGCCAACTTTTGTCTTTTGCAGTTCCGGTTTTGAAAGTTTGCCGACTACACCCAGTTACCACCACAATTTGTTAGTATAAACACAACGGGATAAGCCTAGTAGCAGTCAGTAAGTACTGAGTCCTAAATTAACTGTAAACTACAGAACAAGACTGAATTAAGTAATATTAATGGCAAAATTATTATTGATACCAATTGGGAACAGGATTAGACCCAGAAAATGTGCTTTCATGTGTTCATAAACGTATTCATTATGGCTCCAGTACCGCAAAAATGTACATGTGCTTGACTTCAGTACCATGAGTATCACCTTGAAAACAAAGGACCTACCAATGGATTTAAAGTCTATCACATGCTTGAGCATTTGTTGGATCAGGCATACTTTATTCCCTTTTCTATAGCATGAGAAGCATTAGCAGAGAAAATTCCTTTTTAATGGTGCTTAACTCTTTAATAATGGGTGATCATAATTGCATAAAGCTGTCTCCACCTGCTGTTCTCAAGGATATATAGATCCATGATGGACCACAAGGATGCCACAAGATCTTTATAAGGGTGTCAGTCAATATTAGCACTGTTAGGTGTGCAAACACCTACACGTGATTGACAAGATAAACCCAGAGATTTTAAGGAGGAATCCATAGTGTCAAAAACATTCTGACCTATTGGCTTTCTTTGCAACAGAAAAATTGCTCTGTTTCTATAGACAAAAAAAAAAATGAGTGAAAGTTAAGACCTGGTATTTTTCAAGGGGTGCCTTGAGTCTAACAAGATTGATATAGGTTCTGAGATCTTTTTACAGGAAGGTCACACAGATATGGAATAGATTTTTGCAATGTTGAAGCTAAAAATAAGTGGTAAAATTATTAAAAACTCTTAAAATTACTGTATCAGTTACCACAATGTGGATGCAAAATTAATTATGTAAGGTGATTAAGTAACCCAGGTTTATTCTGAACTAACAAATGCAATGCCCTGGCACAAACCCACAAAATATAATTAAATAGAAGGAAGGATTCTTGGCCAAAAGAAAAGGAGCACATTTTATGCGTCAGTACACCGGGAGAGAAATGTCAGTAGTATACCAATGGCAGAGAATACTCCAAATATATATAAAAAAATATATCCATCCAACTTTATTTTATTTAACAAAATAAAAGTGGTGTGAACAACTTATCTGGACACTGCACCCTTCGGTGTACACAATAGGCCGATGTTTCTAGCAGTGTTTTTCTATGTGCTATGAGAGGAAGTTGCTTTCACAATTATCTGCTATTCCAGTTTACCCTGCTTTTTATAGCATAGAATATTATCTGTTTTTTAATACAGCCAGCACAGAATGGAACTTACTCATTTTCCTACAGAAAAACATTGATGTAATATAGTGGATTAGGTCTTCAGCTTGCAAATAACTCCACCAAGTAAATCTACATATCCAAGCAGCGTCAGGAACAATCTTAAAATCTAAGGGGGGACTAGACCTGCCTTTGTAAAAAAAACATAAATGCAAAGCATAGACTATTCTAGCACACAAACTGAATAGTAATCGATTCTTATACTTTCAAAAGACAATCAGACACTAGCCAGTGATTTCTGGTATATATAGTGAATTTATGTAATAGGCAGCTAATTTCTGAGAATTTAGGTGAGATCCATATTGTATGAGGTAGGCTCCTGATACAATATTTGAATGCAAGACCTTTCCAGGATGCAGGAAGTGGTATTCAACCCACTGCAGAGACTTACATATACATTTTTAATGTATATACAAGTACTACAAAAAATTCAGTGGGATGACTCATTTGTGTGAAATTAAGTACAAGTGTCATGCAGTTTGCATAACTGAAGTCTGTATTTGAACAATGCTTTACCTTTCATTTTCTAGAATGAACCTCTATTTCTTTTTAGCTTTAAGGCAACTCACTAAACATTAGGGCTGTGCGAAGCTTCGGTCCCTGATTTGATTCGGCGGAGTTCTGGCCCAATTTGGTGGCCAAATCTCTGAATCCGAACCAAATCAGGAAACTCTTTAATCTCTCTGAATTGAATCAGAACCCTCCGAATCAATTTGGAGAGATTCAGAAAGATTCGGACATAGACACAGCTTTAAATGTTTTTTCTACATACCTCTAGGTACCAGGCGGCTTGTCAGCACTGTGATGGTGGGTTGGATGGAGCTTGCCACAGAAACATGAGGGGGCTCCCCATCGCGCTCAGCAGTGGACCTGGAAGTGGACCAGAAGCACTTCCGGTCCACTTCCAGGTCCACCAGGCAGTGTGCTGGGGTTCCTCCCGCACTGCCCCAGAGACTGGTACCTCCTGGGTCTGAGGGGGCACCCAGGGTACCCCTGCAGCTGATTGCTGAGCTGGGTGGTGCGAGTGGGGGGCCCAGGGCTCTCCCCAGTGGACCCGGAAGTGGACCGGAAGTACTGTCAGTCCACTTCCAGGTTCACCGCCAAGCACACAGGAGGCCCCCTGTACTCCTGTGGGATGCTCCATCCACCCCAGCATTGTAGCATTCATAAGCCATGCCAAGTACCTCAAGGTATGTAGAAAAAAAAACATTTCAAGCTGTGTCTATGGCCAAATCATCAATTCTCTGAATCAGCATTGAATCTTCAGATTCGGATTTGGCTGAATCAAAATCGGAGACAGTGGTCCAAATCAACCAATTGAATCACTGTCCCTGAGTTGGGTTGAATCTGAATCTCATACAGCCCATTTCACACACCCCTACTAAACATCTGAGTTATGTACGGACATTCGGGGAGGTTAAATTGGATTCAAAATGGCCACCTGATTTAAACTGAACTCATCCCATTGCCAACCTTACACTTACAAACTCAGTTTCAGTGACCAACAATCAGTCTAAACCTGTAACTATACAGAAGTTCCATGCGCACAAGCTGGTCTAAAAATCACAGAATCTGGTTTAAGATAAACCTGGGTCTATGTGGTATCAGTCTTAATTAGATTTAGGTCAAACTGGTGCATGGAACTTCTGTGCACTTCCCCTGTGCAGCCCAAGGGCTGGGAAGACTCAGCCACTGCCCACAGCCTGGAGCTGCTCTATTCATTTCCCCTTTGCCCCTGCACTGGTCTATTATTTGCCCTCTCCAGCCCCTGGCTCCCCACCATCACCAGCCAGCCCTCTCAACCCCCATCCCACAAGCCACTTGGGGTGCAGCTGCTTTTATTGGCATTCACCACTGCTGGAGCTGGTGGGAGTAGGGGCGGGAAGGGATGGAGATGTAGGCTTGCTGGGGGTGACCCCACCCCACCTGCAGGTTGCACTCCCCCCCACCCCTTGCGGGTCATGCCTACCCCCTCACCCCATCCGCAGGTTGTGTCTGCCCACCTCCCCCTCGGGAGGGGGGCGGGGGGGGTCGCATCTACCCCCATCCCCCAGAAGATCCCTGATCCTGTCCAGCCTGCTGGACTTCCAACTCCCCAGTTAGCCCCCCCATCCTGACTTACCTGATATCAAGTAACCATTTTAAATCAATTTAACCTCTCAAAAGATGAACTGTAGTTAGCTGCATAAATTGGGGAAAACAGAACCCCCAGGATCTTTTGGGCAAAACAGATATTAAGTTTGCTCTGTTTGGTCCTTCTGCTTGGACCTATTGCTGCAAGTGAAAGGCACATGATATGGGTATGTGTTATTACCCCTCATTTCCCAGATGGAGACTGAGATTAGAGATGAAAACTGACAATCTCAAAGTTGGTCACCCTTTTGAGTACTTAGGAGTCCAGTGTCGATAGGCTCCATTCATTGCTGTTGAAACTGCATGCTCAGTACCAAGGAACAGATGCCAGGAAATTATGCTACCTTAATTCTGTTGATTTGAAAGAAGATATACTATACATTTTCCAGCTGTGTTGGTTCTCATGAGGAATGCCATGAGGAACTGTCCTTTAGGCCTGTGCAAATAGGGAAGCATTCAATTCGGATTTGGATTCAGATTCAGCCAATTCGGATGACAGTGATTT